AAAAAAAAAAAAAAAAAATCACAATGGAAAGAGAGTCAAGTGAGGAAGAAGACATAATAATCCTAAACATACCTCTAATAACAGAATTTAAAAATACATGAAAATAAAACTAACAACTACAAAGAGAAATAGATGAGTCCACAATTACAGCCTCCTACAGGTTGAATTCTGTCCTGCTCCTGGAATCCATATGTTGAAACCTAACCCTTGAAGTCATTGTATTTAGAGATAAAGGTTTCAGGAGACAGTCCAAGTTAATTGAAATAAGGGTGGGGTCCTAATATGATAGGATTGGGAGCCCTATAAAAAGAATATGGAAGATTTTGTATCTCCTCACATATGTACACAGATACACACACCAAGGAAATATATGATGACACCAGAATGTCACCATCTTGCCAGCCAGGAAGTAGACCTTCCTTCAACATTGAATGGATCATGGGCTATTGTCAGAGACCAAGCTGTGCAAGGATTAAATTGCTGAAGAAGGGACCCCTGGCTGTGTTAGAAACCCTCATATTCATAGTGCTCTGAAATTCTAGAGCAATAAAACTGTCAACCCTCGAGATGAAACATTCTCTTTTTTTTGTACAGGCTTTCACTACCCACATCAAACTCATGCTGATTCTCCTGTGTTCAGCCTCCCCAGTGCTGGGATTACAGGCCCGTGCCACCATGCACTGACAAAACATTCTCTTAATTGGCAAGTTAATTTAAATACAAATGTTAGAAATACCTATTTCTAACTACATACTACCGTTCTTTCCCAAAGCCCTGGTCATTTTTGCAGGTTCTTGCTTCCAATAGACCCTGTTCTTGCTGGATACCCCCAAACTATGAAACCCAATAAATACAGTGATCCAGAAGAGTCTTTGTCTTTACTTCCAGGAAGTCTTTATCCCAGAGTTTTAACCTTCCTGAATTCCCCAAAACTATACTACTTGCCTCTTTTTATTTAAGCCTTTGCCATATACTCATTTTAGATTGGGGGCTAGGCCAAGTCCCCAGTAGGCCACAACCTTGACCTGGGACTTCCCAACCTTCTGAACTGTAAGAAATTAATCCACTACTAAGACAAAGTTGATCCCTCTCTCAATAATTGATAGAGTAGGCAGAAAAAGCATATAGACGTCAACAACAATATCATTTAATTTGAATAGATTAAAATTTGTAGGATACACTAGCCAATAACAGTCTTATATTTTAAGTGTACATGGAGCATTTATCAAGATAGATCATATTCTGGACCATAAAACCAATAGGAAAGAATTTTAGTCCTATATATAAGTGTCCTCACCTAGGCACTCACCTGCTGGATGAAGCCACAGCACGTCGTGGTGTGGAAGCCAAACTTAGTCACATACTGGGGCACAACACCCTCCGCTCTGCAGCCTGCGAGAGAGGTGTTGCCCTGAGCACTGCTTATGTCCTCTGAATGCTGGACCTCGTAGAGCCCCAGTGCAGGTCCTGGCAGCTGGAGAACACAGCAGCCTGAGCTACCCACGGTTGTGATGAGCCAGATATGGACCTGCCTGGACACTGCCTGGAGCAAGTGGCCCACAGGGCAGGGTGTGAAGCTTCACAAGCCAATCCCACTGGCTTATCAGCTCCATCCAAACTCTTACTTAAAAATCTCATTTCCATAACATGGTGTAGAGGGTCATGGTGCGCAACTCAATCTACGGTTGAAATATTACTAAGTAGTGGGTGGGCTCAGGTCAGGGGAGCCATAGGAGCAGGGCTGTGGACAGGCCAATCTGAACGCACCCACAGTGTTCTCCTCCCCCTTCAGCTTCTCTCTGAGCTTCTGGTTGTAAAGGTGCAAATCAGCCATCTGTTCCCCGAGCTTTGACGCCTGGCTGAGGACAGAAGAAATGCAGCCAATTAAAGCTACAAACAAAGCATCAGTACCCTAGGTGTTCCATTGTAAAGACCTTCAAAGCTACTCTCCCTTCTTTAAAAAGTAGAAAATGAACACCCAGACCAGGACCCTTTCCAAAGAACAAAATGATGAAGTCAGGCAAGGAGCCAGCAGGAGGTCCTCTGCAGAGGGCTCAGTAAGCACCCAGCCCTGGGCCCAGACCTTGGCAGGGGAGAGTGGACAGCAAAGCAGCTTCCCACTCTGCAGACAAATGAAAACTGTGAACAGGAAAACAAGATGACAATTCAGTGACCACACCTTGCTGATGAATTGCAGGAGGATAGAAGTCTTCTCTACACGTTTGCGCTTCCCACATTTTATATAACTATGTGTGACTTTAATGCTTAGAAACCCAGAACTCCTGACAATTAAGACATTCATTTCATTCAGCCCAAACTGAGCTGGCATTAGTGCTTAGTGAAGCACAAAGCAAGGAGTGGGTGCACACATGTTCATTCTGCGCAGCTTCACAAGCTTCACATAGCCAAACCCAAGCAGCAACCTTTTGTCTTTATTAAGAATGGCCCTGGTGCTGGACCCAGGGAACACACATCTGTAATCCCAACTTCTCAGGAGGCTGAGGAAGGAAGGTCACAAGTTCAAGCCCAGCTTGGGCACCTTAGACCCTGTCTCAAGAGGAGACATAAAAAAGGACTGGCAGGGGCCGGGGAGATAGCTCAGTAGAATAAGCACTTGCCTGGTAAGTGCAAGGGTCTGAGTTCAATCCCTGGTTCAAAAAAAAAAAAAGAAAGAAAGAAAGGACTGGGAGTATAGTTCGGTGTGAAGGCCCTACATCAATGGTGGCACTCTATAGCCCACGCACCCCAGTGGGCGTTCAGAGCCCTCTCTGTTGGTACACAGGCCAAGTCACCCCAGCTCTGCCCCAGCAGCCAAGCATTGGCATTCAGGTTTAATTGCAGTGTTGGCACTTTGCAATAAATAAGTGGTTTTGGGTTGCGGTTAGGGCACTCAGTCTCTAAGAGATTCACCATCACTGCCCTAGGTTCAGTCCCTAGTCCTGGAACAAAAACAAAACGGAAGTGTGGCTTCTGGGAATAGGCCATTACCGGGCAGCTCAGCAAGGGCTGCTTTCCATGTCTCTGCGTCCCTCCCTCTGCCTCATTTTCCTTCTGTCTCTTTCCCCAGACTATTTCCTTCTGTATGCAGTGGGAGGAGAGGGGAGAATATACATGTGTGTGTTCCTCCTTTTCATGTCGCTCTTGACCTTTATGTGGGACACACACATGCCCCTTGAGTATGTGCGTCTCTCCACATGTGTATACACATGTGCCCCTCACTCTCTCACACTCACCTGCTCAAACTCTTCATCTTCAAATGCTCCATCACAAAGGCGGCCCCGCCTCCTGGCAGATCAATCACCTTTATGGGCCGAGGCACACGCAGCAGGCCTGTGCCGAGCAGAGCCTCCAAGCTTGCCTTCTCTCCCTCGAACATCAGCCGGGCCTATATCCAGAACACCCCATGAGCAGATTGGCTCTGCAAACTCCCACTCCAACGGGGGACCCTGTCAGCTAGGCTGAGGCACTTGTGGTCCTTGACAGAAGACACCACGTGAGAATCGCAGCCCTGGGACCTCCAAGTACTGAAAGTCGTGAAGGTCTCGGCCCCTGGTGGGGGGAAGGATGCTGTGCCCTATAGCAAGCTTGTGCTGTGGAGGAGAGAGCCAGGTTACAGGGTACCAGGCAGAGCCAACCAGGGGTCCCCTGGGGTCCCCACCATCCCCATTAACCCCTATTGGGGTGGACAAGGCATGGTAGAAGTAAGGGGGCACAAGTTCTAGTTAGGGAAGACTGGGCTGAGATGTCTCCTAGGCCAGACAATTGGAAAGGAGATATACATCCTTGTCACTCCAAAGCCTCCAATAGGACCCAGGGCCTTCCTGAGACAGCAGAGACAAGCCAGACACTCCCCAAGGAGGACTTTTTATTTTTTGTTTCTTCCAAGGCTTCCCCGAGCACCTCACAGCCAGTGTGGTACATCGGATGCTCCTAGAAGCATCAGCTTTGGTTGCAGCAGGCTTTGGCCACAGGTCCATTCTAGGTGTTTCCACCCAGCAGCCTCTCTGGATAACTCTGTCCATCCTCAGTCAGGTCCCTGAGGAGTCCCTCCCCTACCACAACTAAACAGAAATCCTGATACTTCACATTCATCTTTCTCTTCTCTACAAGTAACTTCCTCTGTACCCTGCGCAGGTCAATCCCAGAAGTCCTAATAAAGGCTCTTCCATATGGTATCTTCTTGCCTACTCATGATTTCCATCTCAAGCACAGCAGGTTGAATCGGTAACATCAAAGGCCACTGGCACCAAAAGTGGCCCACAGACAAAGCTGGCAACAGTGATGACCCCTAGCAGCCAGAAAACACACAAAGCAACAGAGAATCGCCAGGCACTGCCATCTCTGGCTGTGGAAGAGCTTCTAAGGCCCGCTGGCAGTGCCTGGCTCCAGCTGTCAAGAGAGTGAGTGACAGAGAGCCACTAACACCAGGAGCTGATGGCCGCTGGTATTCAAGCTCAGGGCTATCTTACCACTAAAAGAGGTACACTTGCCTAATCAGTATTTCTACCCAAACTGAGCAAATGAACCTGCAACCACCTGGTAACACGCATGCCCTCTATTTTTCTAGAGCATTGGCACAAATATCCCAATTAATTTGAGGTGAACTCTCACCTATGAACGTGATGCTTTTGTGAAAGACGTGCATTTATTAATTTTTTTTTTTTTTTCAGAACCAGGGATTGAACTCAGACCCTTGAGCTTGCCAGGGAAGCACTTATTCTACCAACCATCTCCCAGTCCCCAGTGTGGTTTGTGAAGAATCCTGTGTATGTAATTGCAAGTTTGGGCTGGTGAGATGGCTCAGTGGTCTACAGCACCTACTTAGAACAAGCTTAGCAAAGCACAGAGACCACGGTTCAATCCCCCAGCACCACATGCCAGCCAGCCCCGCCCCCTGGTGGGCTGAGCTGGCCACACACACACACACACACACACACACACAAATAAATTTTAAAAAATAATTGCAAGTTTCAAACAAATTAAACCTCATGGATGAGACCAGAACATATATTTTTTTTAATGTATTCAGGACAGGGTCTATGGGTCCACAGCGTCTCATTATATAGATCGGATTTGTAGTGATCCTGCTGTTTTCAGCCTCCCAAGTATTGGGATTACAAGCACGTACCACCACACCCAGTCTCAGGCACCATCTCAGCATACCCCCACGGGCAGGGTTGGCACGGCAGGTCCAGGCATCGAACCCTAGGACTCTGCATCTGCCTAAGCAGGTACTTTAATCAGCTGAGCTATTTGGCCATCCCTCAGAGCATCTATTGCCACACAGGAAAATAACTCCACTCATTAATTTAAAGTAACCAAGGGGAAAACCAGGCACAGCATCCTCAACATGCCAACCTGCACCTGGAATTGTGAGACAGTGCCAAGCCTCCTTGGGGTGGGAGGGCATCCCTGAGCATCAGCCAGGCTCCCAAGATGAACCTCCAAACTATGGGAGCAGGCAACACTGAAGATTCAGACTGCTCCTGGGTGTGGCGTGCATGCCCATAATCCCAGCACTCAGGAGGCTGAGGTGGAGGATTGATGTGAGTTTGAGGCCAGCCTGAGCTACACAGTAAGACCCTGTTCCAGAAAAAAAATTCAGACTACTTACATCGCAAGGACCTTAACTGCCACCTGCTCCCATATCCAAGCGGCAAGTATGTGTGGGCACAGGGAGTTTCTATGTGGAATGGTCAGTTGGGACTCCTCATTTTGTTGGGTTCTAGTCTGAAATCATGTACCTCAGTGGTTCTCTGGGCAACAGTGCCAGGATCTCAGGTCAGGGTGGTCCCAATCTACTACATGTGACCCATCTCCATGGCACTGCTGCCAGGACACTTGGGGTTACCACTCTGGGCTTCTCTGTTTCCCCACATCCAGCAATCACCTCCCCAACACTGCCCAAGGACTATCAATCAGGACCAGGCCATCTACCTGCAGGCCACAGGACCTGCTTTGCCCACATAGATTCTGGGGTGGTAGCCGGCTTGCTTTCTGGGCTAAGGCTAGCTTCCTTCATTTGTGTCCACGCTGTACACACAGCCTTACACAGGAAGGAAGAAAACAGGCTCATGAACCCAGGACGGGTAAGCACCTGTAGGGGATCAGCTAACAGGGGTGCACTCCTATCTTCCCACTGCTTTGGAGGATAACACCCACCCCCTCCAGACTGCAGCAGGGTGCTGAGCCCAGCAAGGGGCAGAAGCAGCCCAGGGCCTCATCTCCACCCATGTGCAAACATTAAAACAGCCCACTAGCATGGGAGTGTACTCTGTAACCCCAGCACTCTGGTAGTCTAAGGCAAGAAGATAAAAGATTTGAGCCCACCCTGGTCAATTTAACGACTTAGTGAGACCTTGTCTTACAACAAAAAATAGAAGGCTTGAGATCCTTTCGAAGGCCCTGGGTTCAATCATCGAACCACAAAATAAAAAACAAAAACAAAAACAAAACTGGTAGGATCCAGGGAAGGACACTGCTTACGCAGCAAAAACAGAACCTCAGGCCTCCAGTGGACTCTCGCCTCGCTCCTCCGCTCTTTCGCGGCGCAGCCCTTGGCGACGCCCCCCACCCCTATCCCATTGCCACAGCACACCTGCGTCTTGCGGTTGACCTTGACGAACACGGGGCCGGAATCCGTGTCGTAGGAGCGGCCCTCGCTGATGTAGCCCGCTCCGGGGCTCCCAAAGGCCCGCAGGGTCGCGGTGCGCAGCTCAGTACGCAACAGCTGCTCCATGACTAGAACTCGGGCTCAGGGGACCAGGATTTGGGGACGATGACAGAGGCCGCGGGGACCCGAAGAAAAGAGACAGGGACCAAGGCTGCAGCGGAACTCTGGGGTAGCCTGTGCGTGCCGCTGCCACTCGGGTGCGCGCTCCCGGTGCGCGCCCCTGATGCGCGGGCCTCTGCTGCTAGTGACAGCTGGTCCCCTGGACAGAGCTCCCAAGCGCTGGGCCCCGGATAGCTCTCTTGCCCTAGCTCTGCTTACCCCTGAGGAGTGGGACAGCAGGTCCCTGGCTACCCTGGAAGGAGAGAGGGGGCAACACAGAAGGGGGTGTCCCCCGTGTCCACAATGCGTGCCTCCACAGTCTGGGCACATCTAGACCCACCTCCTGCGCCACACACAGAGCCAGCGCCTCCTGCACAGCTGAGGGCCTGGGCCCAGACATGCACCGACCCCCAACCCCAAGCACAGGACACTGCCAGGGGTTAGCTGCTGCTGGAAGCCAGCCTCCGGCCGGACTAGGTTCTCATACTCTCCAGTCAAGGCTGAAACTTGAGGGCAGCGTCAATGACGGGGTGCTTGTGCCCATGAGAGATAGTGGTGGCTCTGGGAAGTGTGACAACAGAGATCAACCCCACCCAGGGTGGGGTCTTGGCCACAGAGAAGCTGGCTCCAGGTTACGCAGGCAGGCGCACACGAAGCCAAGCACAACAGATCACGCATGCGCTGTGTTGTGGCGCAGCGGCGGGAGCGTCCCATCCCCCACCCTGCGGCTCTGCTCCACTCAATTCACAGTGGGACGCATCTCCTTCGTAAAGAGTGAGCCCCGGGAGAAGCCGGGTCGAAGCACCACTTACTGGTTTTGGTTTTTGGTTTTTTTTCTTGGTGTCTGTTTTGTGTTTTGTTTTGTTTTGTGCAGTACATGAGACTGAATCCAACGCCCTTGCCCTGAACTACCATATATCCCTGAAATAAACCCAAACATGCTTTTTTTCAGGATGCTCAAATATAAATCCTAGCCCAAAATGAAGCCCCAGGTAAGATCATCAGCCAGAGGAGCATATTTAACACATGCACTGCAACACAGGACATACTGATTTTTAAAATAATAGTATTTAGTATATAAGCAATATTATTGATATTGATAAACTATAATTAAGTCATTGTAAATTCCCAGGCAGAAGCCTTTGTAAACAGACAACTGGAAATGTTCCAGAGTCCAGGGAGGTGTTTTGGGCGTGGCTGCTAGGGTCACTTCAGGAAGGCACCTTCCCACCACCCCAGGGTCCTCACAGCCCTGTGACAACTTCCCTCACAGCTCCGAGCAGTCCATGCTAACACACTCAGCTATCAGAACAGAGTGTGGACGAAGAGCGGCATGAGTCAGACACAGGGCAGGTACAAGGCAAAAAGTCCTTTACTGTAAGGCTAAGAACTGTTGACCACTCAGGACTCACATAGTGAGTCTCTTAAGCAACAGCAGGACTGTCTGGTGTGTGGATTATAACACTATCTGGAAAGATCTGTGGCACATGCCTATAATCCCAGCTGCTTGGGAGGCTGAGGCACAAGGATTTTAAATTTGAGGGCAGCCTGAGAAATTGAGTGACTTAGCAAGACTCTGTCTCAAAGTAAATAGTGTCCTAGAAAGATATGTAATGGGTAAACTCCAGAGCAAAGTTGGGAATCAGTGAAAGGGGAGGTGGCAGAAACGAAGAAGAAATGCCCTGAGAAAGGGGCAGGCAGGGTGGAGAGAGGAGTTACAGGGTAGAGATGGTCACCCATTCTCCCGAGGGGACTTCTGCCCTTCTCATGCCAGGTCTGTCCTGCTGATCCTCTGGGGCAGGGAGTTGCACATCACTGCATTAAGGAGCTGGCCTTCTGTGTGGCTTGGGGAGAAGAGGTGGGCTAGGGTGTCCCCCAACTCCCTGCCTCAAGGCCACTTGGTTCTTACCCTCCACCAGGGCCCAGCCTAAGTCAATGGTCTCCTCACACCTTCCACATTCTGTCCAGACCCTTTAGACCTCCCCCTCAGCATCACAGCCACTCACCCCTCTACCCCAGGTCTTGTGCTGAGGCTCTAGACATGGTGGGAAAGAGACTGGATGCAGAATACATAAAAAAGACAGGCTTCACAGGGGCCAGGGGTTCTATCCTGGAAAGATCAGCAGCCCCTGGGGGTGCAGAGGCAAGATTGAGACTGGGCCTGGTGGTGCACATCAGTAATCCCAGCTCTCAGGAGGCTGTAAACAGGTGGATCACTAGTCCAATCTAGTAGTGACACCCTGAACACCCTGTAGACCCTTCCCTAAAAATACAAAAAACCAAACAAGATAGGCTCTTTTAAGAAGATAGCAAAGCGTATTCTGTAGGTCTACTTCCACTACAAATATGCAAAATAAAAAGCTTCAGGGTGCCAGGCTGGACCTGTTATGTAACACTTTCCTTCTGTAGAGGGGTTGGTATTCTGACCATGTTAGATAATGGTAAGTTTCTTGAAATCATTTTCCCACAATTTGTGTGTGTGTGGGTACCGGCAATCCAAGTCAGGACCTTATGTTCACCAGGCAGGCACTGCACCAGTGAGCTATATCCCCGGCCCCCTGATGTTCCTACCTTAGTAAGACAAAAAACTGTCATGACTCACAGATGAGACTGTGGGTTTTGGATGGGCACCTGGGCAGCAGCCATGGTAACAGGTGTGTGTGTGGGGGGGGCTGTGTGTGTGTCCTAGTAGTACCATGGCTGCCCTGAGCAGAACACTCTTCTGGTTCCTCCTGTCCAGGGCTCTCACACCTTCAGATGTCACCATTCCACTCTGCCACAACCGCAGGCAGCTGCTGTCCAGACACATCATGAGGCTCCCCTTGAAATCATGCAGCCAAAACAAGCATTCCCCTTCCAGCCTGGCCTAGCTGGAACGCCACCTGAGGAGCCGGGTCTCAGATGGGGTGCACCTCTGGCACAAACATGGTCACAGGACCAGTGCTGGAGAGATGCAGATGTCTGGGCCCAAGGCTCATGATTCTGGGAACTGGAAAAAAAGTACATGTTTATGTTTTATGTATAAATACAAAATCAGGTTAAATCAGGTATTATAGGATAAACAATTACAGAGTGACAGGTGAAGAAGCCACAAATATCACATTATCACAAAATCTGAGAAACAGAACCCTGTTTATCAGCTAACTGCGTGCCACACCAGAGATGCTTTCTCGCTGTACTTCCTCACCCACAGCCTGCCCTAAGCTGCAGCTGTCCACACCATCTGGGGACAGAAAGCCACTTCCAACAGAAGACCAAAATTTCTGCCTAGAATATTTTGGGAGTGCTCCAGCCTCCACTCACCTACCATGCTGTGCCAACAGAGTAATGTCAGGTTCCTGGCCATAAGTTGTTCTGGTTGTTTTTGATCTGAGACAGTTTCATTATGCAATCCAGGCTGGCCGTGAACTCAGTTTGTAGCCCAGGGTGGCTTTCAACTCACAGCAATCCTTCTGCCTCAGCCTCCCAAATGCTGAGATTACAGGTGTGCACAACACCTGGCCTTAAAAGTCATTCTTTTAAGAGACAACAGTTGTACTCAGCATAGTGGAACTATTATGGTTTATGTCTAGTTGTCCCCCCAAAACCTCATGTAGTCATGGGACAGACTTTTAGACTTTGTGATTAATTCATGATCCAGTGCTGGGATTATGGGTGTAAATGCTGCTGGGATTATGGGTGTGAGTACACCCAGCCTGGGGCAGACAGCCTGAATGTAACATAGGGGAAAGAGACTTGCTCTCTGCAGCCATTGGTGCTGCTACTCCTCCCTTTTGCTCTTGTTGTTTGCTCTTTGACACTGCCATGAATGGTTGTCCTCTGCCACGTGCTGCTCAGCCTTGGAGCCAGCTGAGTATAGACTGAAATGTCCAGCAACTGTGAGCTAAATAAACCTTTCCTTCCTTCATTTTGGGTGTTGAGTATTTTGTCCTAGCAACAAAAGAGTAACTGAGACAGGCACACACTTGTACTTCCAGCCACTCTGGGAGGCTGAGGCAAGAGGATTACAAATTCAAACTTAGGTGTTTAGGAAGATCCTGTCTCGAAATAAAAAATAAATAAAAGGGTTGGAGACATATAGCTTAATGCAAAGGCCCTTCATTCAAACCCCAGATGCTGAACTATAACAAATGGGGAAATACAAGCTCAGACCATTGAAACCACTGAAAGTTTATTCAAATATTGAGGCAAAATGATTTGTTAGCATCAGTGACATTTGATATTAGCTCAATACTCATATGTTGCCAAGAAATGACAACTCGGCCAGCTTTAAAAAACTACACACGAGATGGAGTAAGAGGAGCGATTCCTCACTATATCCAGTTCACACTGAGCTGGCAGCTAGATCACTCCTGTGATGCTTCTAGATCCACCCAGACTGCCGCTAGGTCCAGCAGTCAGGCACAAAGGAAAGGGAGGGCTGGTCATGTAGCTCAGGGGCACAAGCTACACCTTGTGCCTGGCAAGCACAAAGTCCCAGGTTCAATTCCTGGTACAAAAAAAAAAAAAAGGAATGTGCTTGGTCTGGGAATTGGTCACTTCTAACAGCTTTTAGTAAGATGGTTCCATGTTGAGATTCAGGTTTCCGAGATGCCCCAGAGCAGAGGCAGGAACAGGGAAGAGGAGCTGGGCACCTGGGACAGCATGCCCTGCAGCCACTCCTGGTCCATGCCCCAGGCTTCAGGGGCTGCTCTGTTCACATCAGCGCAGCCTCGCTTGGCCAGGAAGCCTACCAGTGTACAACCTCAGGATGACACAGCCTCTCCTGAGATACCACTCTTCACGAAGCTTGAGGACAGCCTGAGCAACAACAGCAAGCATTTATGAAGTTGGAGATGGAATAACAAGAAGTCCCTAACCAGACCAGACTGGTGTCCCTGAACTTGAGGCCTTGGGAAGCTGCTCAGAGATGGCATCCCCTACAGAAAGCCGCTCACTTGACTAGATTCCTCATGATGTTCAGGGAGGACCCTCTGTAGCCAGATCCAAAATGGTTCCAGTGGTTCAGATAGTGAAAGAGCTGATACAACTGTAGGCGCTTCTCGAAGCCCGGAGCCTTGGGGATTTTGCTGTGGTAGGCAGAGTAAAAGGAGCTGCTGAAGCCCCCAAACATGCCAGCTATCGCCAGTTCATATTCTGAGTGGCCATAGAAAGAAGCTGGGTCGAAAATGATGGGCCCGGTGGAATCTTCAGCCACATTCCCTCCCCAGAGGTCTCCGTGCAGTAAGGCAGGGACAATCTCCAGATCACGGAACAGGCCGGGGATCTTCAACTGCGGCAGGAGGACAGAGTCTTAGCACAGTGGTGACACATGCTAAGGGACACAGATGTTACCTGAGCACTGCTCCAGGCACCCCCCAAGCAGCAGCCTCATGCTCAGGTGTGTCTAGCTCACTGACGGTCACCCATATCCTGTCTAGAACCAGGCTCAGATGGGGCTCACCTGCCTTGACTCCTCCCCCACATCAGGGCCGAGTGGGACATGCTGCCAGCACCTGGCTGCCCAGCAGGGCCCTGCTCACCTGCAGAGCAGACCAGAGCTGAAGGGCCTCCCGGTCGCCAGAACCCCGCTCCACCATGTCCATCTGGGGTTGAATGCGTTGTTGAGCATAGAACTCGACCCAGTCCTTCTGCCAGTCATTCACCTGCATGGCACCAGCAGAGAAGGCAGGGTAGGGAGGGTGCGAATGCCTAGAAGCATCCAAGTGGAAAGGGCTGTGGGGACAGCACCCGGAAGGGGTGGTGGCCACAAGAAACTGCAGAGAACAAGCTAACCAGGAAGCCCCAAGGGGTCTTTTCTTTTTTTTTCTTTTTTAAATTAATTTTATTGAGAAACAAATAGCAATGAGACAGTTTCAAAACAGGAAGGGGTCTTAAAGACAGTGTAAGACCTTAGCTCTTCTTCCAAGAGTAATGGAAAGCAGGGATCCACAGGGCCTACTCGATATCCTCCCAAGACTGAAGAACACCAGGGCATTTCCTTTCCATCATATTCGCACTGACAGAGGCCAGAGCCACCTGACCTTCCCTGACCCCACGGCCTGGCCACACATGGCCCCTTTCCCACAGAATGGTAACAGAAAGGTCATGTAGATTCCTGTTCAAAAAGATCCCAAAGTTGGGCCTGGTGGCACACACCTGTAATCCTAGCACTCTGGGAGGCTGAGGCAGGAGGACAACAAGTTTGAATCCAGCTTGGGCAACTTAACAAAATCTCATTTCTTTTTTTTTTTTTTTTTTTTTTTAAAGGAGGGACTAAGGGTATAGCTCAGTACCACAAACAAACAATAACATCCAAGGATTCCAGCTACTCAGGAACCTGAGACAAGAAAACCACAAGCTTCAGCCTAGCCTGGGAAACTTAGTCTCAAAATAAAATGTTAGAAAAGGCTGTTTAGTAGTTGTCCTTCGGTGTCTATGAGGCACTGGATCCACAACCACCCTCATGAGCCAGGGATATAGCCTAGCAGTACTGCCTCTGTCCGGCAAGTACAAGGTCATGAATTCAATTCCCAGGCTGAGGAAATGGCTCAATAGAATAAGCACTTCCTTGGCAAGCGCAAGGATCTGAGTTCAATCCCCAGTTCTGCCAAAAAAAAAAAAAAAAAAAAGAATTCAATTCCTAGTAACAAAACAAAGCAAAGCAAAGCCAAACAAAACAAAACATAACCACCCTCATACCAAAATCTAAGAATGCTCAAATGCTTACATGACACAAATTTGCATATAATCCTCATACATCCTCCTATATATTCCTACATTGCCTACACTGGTTTTTTAAAAATTTTTATTCTTTTATGTATTTAGTACAGGGTTTACAGGGTCTCACTATATATATTAGGCTGGCAGTGATCCTCCTGTTTTCAGGCTCCCAAGTGCTGGGATTACAGGCATGCACCACCACTCTTGGCTAAATTTTCTTTTAAACTGGGCATAGTGGCTCATATCTATAATTCTAGTTCCTTGAGTAGCTAAGGCATAGAGAATTGCAAGAATAGCCTTAGCAATTTAGTGAGAGCTTATCTTAAAAAAGGGGGGCAGTGGGGCTGAGGATATAGCTCAGTGGCATAGCACCTGCCAGGCAAGCACAAGGTCCCGAGTTCAATTCCCAGTATACCCCCAGCCCCTAAAACACCTGACCCACCTAAATCCAGCATCCTGACTTGATCCTTTTTTCTCTGTGTTCACTTAGCATGTATGACAGGTAAACCCTCTATCACCTTAAAAATGTGGCAAAGAAAAAAGATTGCAAATATTTCATAGAATTGCCAGGCCTATCATTGGGAGGCCAAGGTAGGACTGCCACAGACTTGAGGCAAACCTAGGCTTTGTTATGAGCTCAAGGCCAGCTTGGACCCTATCTGAAAAAACAAAAGACCCTATCTGAAAAAACAAAACAAAAAACCATCTCATAAGAAAGAAAGAAGGAAGGGCCAGCAAAATAGCTCAGCAGATTAAAGCACCTGCAAGAAGGCCTATGGGGGTGGGAGGGAGGCTTGATCCCCAGGCCTGCCTTGCCAGCCTTACCCCCAGGGCACACTCAGACAGCAACTGAAACAGCGTGGTGGCGCACACCTGTAATCCCAGCTCTTGGGAGGCTGTAAACAGGCGGGTCACCACAAGTCTAATCTAGTAGTGAGACCCTGAATACGCCATAGACCCTTCCCTAAAATACAAAAAAAAAAAAAAAAAAAAAAAAAAAGAAAAAAGAAAGAAAGAAAGAAGGTGCTTCTAGGGGCCGGGGAGATGGCTCAGTAGAATAAGCATTTCTCTGGCAACTGCAAGGGCTTGAGTTCAATCCCTGGTTCCAAAGGGAAAAAAAAAAAAAAAAAAAGGGTGCTTCTTGCACCCCCACTGTCTGAACAGCTAGCTGGCTTGGCTATGGCTGTCACTAACCTGGGGGAGGTATCCACAGCAGGTCACCACATCAAACCCGAACTGGTCGACGAAGGGCTGTTCTGCCTGCCCAATTCCTCTTCCTTGCAAGCAAAAGGCAAAATGGAAAAGGAAGAGTTAGTGCTTTCGCTCCAGGAGACCCTGGCCCCAGCTCTTGGAGCTGCCTAGAGTCTGGGCTCAAGGTGTCCTTTTCAGCTCACATGCTCACTCAGACGAGCCTGGAACCTCAGGGTCATGTAGAACAAAGGCTGTCTAGGCAGACTTAGTACAAGGACACTAGCTGTCTCCACAGTGGAACCAGAGGATTATGGGGAGGGGAAGTGAACAATAGTATATTTTTTAAAAAATGAAAAGAGGGGCCGGGGAGATGGTTCCGTAGAATAAGCACTTGGCTGGCAAGCACAAGGGTCTGAGTTCAATCCCCGGTACCACCAAAAAAAAAAAAGAAGAAGAAAATAAAAAAATGAAAAGAAAAAAATGGATGATGTTCTTTAGATAGGGAAAATATATATATACATGTATCATAATATCATAATCCATCAGAAAAGGAGTTTCCAGGGCGAGGGATATAGCTGAGAGGCTTAAGTGCCTGCCTGGCAAGCACAAGGTCCTGCGTTTGGTCCCCAGTACCACGGGAGGAGGAAAAAAAAAAAAAGAGGAGGTTTCAGTGGCCAACACCGTGGTGGTCTCAATCCTGTGCAACTTACAAGACTCAAAGAAAATCCTGATGGTCTGACCTTGGCAGGTATAGGAACAGCATCCTAATGGGACCCGTCAGTAGACCCTCCTACCAAGCACAGATCCTGTCATATGCAGAGCCTGCTACACACAGATCCTGCTGATCTGCTTTCTGTCTAGCAGAGTCAGCACATAGGCTACAGATGGATTAAATACTGAAAAATACCTCACTGTTAATACCATACCAAGCTCTGGAGAGCACATAGTTGGGGCTTGTCATTCTGAACCTCAAGAAGATACTCATGGGGCCGGGGAGATGGCTCAGTGGAATAAGCGCTTCCCTGGCAAGCGCAAGGACCTGAGTTCAATCCCCGGTTCCCCCCACCCAAAAAAAGAAGATACTCAGAAGAAAAGATGGTAGTGTGTTTAAAGCACTTTTTTTTCTGTATTTAGGACAGGGTCTACAGGGTCTATAGGGTCTCACTATGTAGATCGGACTTGTAGTGATTCTCCTGTTTTCAGCCTCCCAAATGCTGGGATGACAAGTATGTGCCACCATGCCCAGTCTGTTTTTTGTTTGTTTTGAGGCAGAATCTCACTATGTAGTGCAGGCTGCTCTTGAACTCATTTATGCAGCCCAGGCTGGCCTTGAGCTAAAGCCAATCCTCCTTCCTCAGCTTCCTGAGGGATGGGATTGCAGTGGGGGTGGGGGGAGCACCATGCCCTGGCTAATAATTTTGTACATACAGAAAGACAAAACAACCTTTGATTGAACTCCCTTCTGGACAAAAATAAAACCAACAGTAATAATGTAAAATTTTGAGTCTACTAAATATTTCCTATCTCCTAAGTGCTTTATTTGCTCCTGATACAGAAGATGCCCCCCGACACACCCACCCACAAGTATACTTCAGTTTGTTAATTGCCCAGGTAATAGTTCCAGTTACTTCTGGTTCTTCGAAATGGTTGGTCACTGTGACACACAGCTGGTCTCTATGATGCACATTGTATAAACCAATCCTCAGTTGACAAGTCATTCTGTCTCTGTACTTTCTGTTTGTTTATCCCATATATACCCTAAACCACCAGAAATCAGGGCCTGATATTCTGAGAATGATTCCAATCAGTTCCTATCAACATAAATGAATATGCCTCCAAAGCCTGGGTGTCATTTCGGTGTTTCTGCTTGCCAGTGCAATGACAGGGCAGAGACATCCAGCCTTAGGGCTGAGATTCCTTTGCTTGACATCTGCACAATTCTGATTCTCACAGGAAGCAGCAGAATGCCAGCCCTGAGCCCGCCCTGCTGTATGTCCTTCTTGGGGCCCACCCACTCAGCTCCTTACCCACTGTGCTGGCCTCCTTCTGGAGCATGTCTCCCAGCTTTTGGTTCTGAAGGTGCAGGTCCGCAAGCTGTTCCCCAAGCTTTGTAGCATGACTGTGAATCCAAAAGATAGCAATTAAACAGATAACAGAAAACCTGCAGATACACATCTGTCCGGGAGATTTCAGGGCATGTATACTAAGTCTAGGGGTAGAACATCCATTCTCTCCGAGCAGGGGGGAAGATGAAGGGCCTGACTATTCCACAGTCCTTCCCAGTCTCATCTTGACTTTACTACAACTGAGTTCTATGTCATCATCTCACATCGATGGCATCCTCTTTGAGCCCTCACTCTACATGCTGGAGATCAAACCCAGGAGTGCTCTACCACTGAACTGCACCCCAGCCTGCATTATTTTGAGACAGAGTCTCACTAAGTTGCCTAGACAGGACTCATACTTGTGATCTTCCTCACTCAGCCTCCACTAGTGTTGGGATTATAGTGTATACCACCACAGCCGGCTTCTCTCTGGCCTCTGATGTGCAGAGCACATGCCACTTACTTGGGAGACTGTCATGCGTACAGTCATGGCTTCTTTATACCACATTCCTCAAAATTACACCTCCAAGTACAAGCTTCAGTAGTAGAAGAACCACACAGAAGAAAATAGAGCAAGGGGGAGGGCGTGGGGACAGACCTGCTGAGATACCGCATGTCCAGGTACTCCATCACCAGCATACTGCTGCCTCCAGGGCCATCAAGGACCTTAATGGGTCTGGGCACTTTCACTGTGTCTGTTTTCAGAATGGCAGCTAAACTTGCCATCTCACCTTCAAACATCCTTCTGGCCTGTCAAATATATAACAGAAGAGGAAAAGAAGGGGACCAGAGAGGGAGAGCAAGGTTACTCTGGAAGGGTTCTATGTAGACATGTTTTCTTCCGGCACAACAACAAGCCACGAATGTTGTACTGAGCACTCAAAAAGGGGAAAAAAAGAAAAGAATCCAAAGGGGAGGTAAGAATGATCAAAAGGAAAAATAACTTAGAACCCATCAACTCCAGCAGTGGGTAAGAAAGAAACTGCCATCCCAGTACTCTGGGAGCTGAGGCACAAGGATCTGAAGTTTGACCCCCCACCTAGACGGTGAGATCTGTCTCAAAAAAATTTTTTTTTCAAAATGAAAATTTTAAAAAGGGCTGGAGATACAGCCCAGTACAAAGGTGCTGGGTTCAACCCCCCCAGTCCCCACAAAAAAGAAAAGCAAAGCATCAGTAGGTGGTTCACTTTAATCTGTTGAAAATATCAGCTTCCTTTATGCCTTGTCAACCAAGTTCTGAATAACTGCAAATGCCAGTAAAGATGTAAATACAAAGATGTGTAAGAGGTGGACGCCCCTTAAAGAATGCACAAAACCAGACCAAAGCAGAGAGCTGAGGAGGCTGACCACTGCTCTGTGAACACAGGGGCTCGGGCGTATCTCTTAAGAGTAACTTCAAGGACAAGCAGGCGCCACACTCCTGTATAAGAAATGTGGAGAATCTCTCTAGATTAGGGCTGGAGGCTGGTCCTGTGGCTGTGCCGAGAGATTACCCACATCACGAGAAGGAAGGATTCTTTTCAGAATAGAAAATGACAGTTTGTAACGGGGACTGGGGATGTGGTTCAGTAGTAGAATTCTTGCCTTACATGCACAAGACCCTGGGTTTGATCCCCAGCACCACAAAAAGGGGGAGAAAAAAAAAGAAGCAATCCCAAGAATGCTTCCTAACAAAAGGAAAAAGGCACAGCAAAGGTGAGTCCCATCTGTAAAGGCACTGGCCGTTCTGGGGACCATCGGAACTTTCCTGGAAAGTGACCGGCCACTCCCGCTAAAGGTGGGACCCGGAGAACCAGGGCCTCAAAGGTTTTCTTGCCGTAAAACCAGTCCGCCGCGGCCCGCCCGGAGACGACGGGGGACTGTGGGCGCTGGAGGACAGCAGGACCCAGACACTGACCCGGGCCCGCCGCAGGCCCGCCCGCCGCGCCATACCTCCGCCTTGGAGTTCATTTTCACAAACACTCGCCCTTTGTCCGTGTCGTAACTCTGGCCCTGGCTAATGCACCCGCCGCCCGTGTGACCAGTGGCCTTGACGGAGTTGCAGCCCAGCTCCTGTTTCAGCAGCTCCTCCATATTCCCGCCGCAGCCCAGGGCCTCAAATCTGGGGGACACGATAAAGCCAGCGGCGCCAATGGTTGGAGGCGGGAGCCTGAGGACTCGGGGAAGGGGCGGGAGGCGGGACCGGAACAGACTGAGCGGTAGATCCGAGGCGGCGCGCGGATTGGGTGAGAGCATGGGATGGGCGGGACCAGAAGCAGGGGATTGGGTGACGCTGGGAGGGGCGGGACCAAGCGGGCGGACTTGCTTCTGCTCAGACCAGCTCCAGAGATGGACCAGTTGCGCGAGCTAGACATCAGTGTGAAGTGCGCTGTGTCCCACCTGCCCGTACCTGCTGGTGGACCACGCCCCGTTGGCCCTCCGTATCCCCGACCCTCTTTTTCCTGGCTGGTGACAACGCAGCCTCTTGCTCTGAGGGTGACTCCTTAGGGGAGCAGGTCCTGAAGGGGCTCCCTTAGGTTTGGAGTTTCGTTTTGCACGTGATTATCTGATTAGTATGTGTTTCTTGGTCAGACCTCCCTAAGGCCAGCAGGTAAAGAGGAAGATTTGTTTTGAGGATGGTGAAAGTGCAAGTTCAAAGTCTGTAGGGTGGGCTGGCATGCTGGGGACCTGAGGAAGGGCTCCAGTCTGAGCCCCAAGGCTTCCGCCGGTGGAATTTCTTCTCTGCTCCCCACTGGGGGAGGTTCTGCCCTGCTCCAGCGGCTCCTAGCCTTGACACCTCCCCAGCTTCCACCTGTCCCTCGTCCCTTGCCACCCATCTGAAGGTGCATGGCTTTGTATTTCTAGGATTTCTTGACATGGAACGGTGACTTACAATTCAAGTAATCACTCCATAATTTTTAAAGCCAAAGACAAACTGGGTATTTGTACTATGAAAATCAATAAAAGCTACCACTATCCCACTTTTTTTATTTTTTTTTTTTTTTTTTTTTTTACGGAACCAGGGATTGAACTCAGGCTCTTGTGCTTGCCAGGGAAGCACTTATTCCACTAAGCCACCTCCCCAGGCCCATCTTTTTTTTTTTTTTTTTTTTTTTTTTTTTTTTAACTTGGTACAGGGTCTTGCTATGCAGCTCGGATTTGTGGGGCCAGCACGGCATGCAGTACGGGGGATCGACCCTTGGACCTTGCACTTGCCAGGCAGGCACTTAGACCGAGAGCTATCACCCCAGCCTTGCTGTACCACTCAATAGAAAAGAGATCTCCAAGAATAATACAGGTACACAGCCAAGCTTAGTGGCGTATGCCTGTAATTCTAGCACTGGGGAGGCTCAGGTAGGAGGATTCCTATGAGTTTGAGACTAGCATAGGCTACAAAGTGAGTTCAAGGCCAGCCAGCCCTGTGAGTGAGGCCATGTTTCAAAAGACAAAATAACAATAATAATAATGGTACAATGACAAATCAAATATACATTAAATATCTACAAACTCCTTGGAATTCATCTAACTAAAGAAGTCAAAGATCTTTTCAAGGAAAATTACAGTACTCTTAAAAAAGAAATAAATGTCTACAAAGTGCAACAACTACACCACCATTAACAATGAAAAGAGGGGCTGGGGAGATGGCTCAGTAGAATAAGTGCTTTCCTAACAAGTGCAACGGCCCTGAGTTCAATCCCCGGTTCCGAAAAAAAAACCAATGAAAAGAATTCAATAATAATAGCTCAGCTCTTTGGTCTCGGTGGCACAAGCAAGATGATGAAGGGAACGTCATCCTTTGGAAAGCGTCGTAATAAGACGCACACGTTGTGCCGCCGCTGTGGCTCTAAGGCCTACCACCTTCAGAAGTTGACTTGTGGCGAATGTGGCTATCCCGCCAAGCGCAAAAGAAAGTATAACTGGAGTGCAAAGGCTAAAAGGCGAAATACCACCAGAACCGGTCGAATGAGGCACCTAAAAATTGTATATCGCAGATTCAGGCATGGCTTCCGCGAAGGAACGACACCTAAACCCAAGAGAGCAGCAGTTGCAGCATCCAGTTCATCTTGAGAATTGCAGCAATCACTCAGAATAAATGCTTTGGTTTTAAAAGATAAAATAATAATAATAATAATAATAATAATAATTCAATCAGCTAAATATCTAAAGATTAATAACGTTTAATAGTAATAGAAGTGGAGGGCGTGGGGAAGAGGAAAATGAAAGTAAAATTTGAAAAATAACAGGAAGATAAAAAAAGGAGAAAATATCCAATTAGGAAGTAAAATAAAATAAAATTAGGTTAAAAATAACAATAGAACAAACAAGAATAAAGAAAGAAAAATAGGAAAAGGAACCCCACTCAAAGAAGAGAGAGAGAGAGAGAGAGAGAGAAATTAGACTAAATTCCTCTGTGTATCTGAACAAGTGGTTTTTTCCCATGGCCTGAAGTATTGGAATTCACCAGATATGGGCGAGGGATAGTGAGTCACTACTAAATCCTATTGTGTTTCCACATCACATTTTTTTGATGTGAATCCAGTTCTGTTCTGCCTTTCTGTGGACTGTAGTTGTCAATAGTCCTGCTCTAGGACAGTATTTACTCCAGCGGGTCCTGTCCCTCTGTGCCTCCCAAGTTACTTTTTCTTCTGCTCAGCCTTACAGTGTCTCCCACCCCCATTCCAGAAGCCCTTCTGTCCTTGCATCCCAGGCTGTAGCAACTGTCCAAGCTGAAGGTGATCCCTGGTCACACTGATGGGGAAACCTGAGCAGCACACTGCATGTGTATGTGTGGTGTGGGGTAGGGATGGGATGGAGGGGGCAAGCAGCCCTCTAGACTTCAATGTCTGCACTTTCAGACCCAGCCCCCTCTGAAAACTATGCTCCACTGGCCTGCCTTCTCAGCCTCTCACCACAGAAGGTATGACTTCCACATCCTTCTCCACCTGAGCTCCTGCACCCTCTCTATAACTGTTTCTTGAAGCCAGGTACCCCTAGAAATCCTAAAGTGTAGTTCTATGACTTCAGATTCGTGGAGTAACTCAATCTTAAATGTTAAACATCTTCCCCAAATGACTCCTGATTAATCACTTTTTTTTTGAGACAGGGTCCTGCTATGTCATTCATTCCAGCCTCAAACTTGAGGTAATCCTACTGCCTCAGCTTTCTGAGTGCTGGGATTACTGGTGTGTGCCACCACACTTGGCTATTTTGATTCTCAGAGATCTAGTTGTCTCCAGGCCATTATCCCAGAGAGGCTGTGTTTTACTGCTAGTCTTTTTTTTCTTTTATTTGCCCGATTTATTTCATATAACATTATAATCTCAAGGTGCATCCATTTTCCAACACTTGACTTTTATTATTTATTTATTTATTTATTTATTTATTTTTGTGGTACTGAGGATAGAACTCAGAACCCTGCGCTTACCAGGCAAATTAACTGTTATTGGTAATAATTTTTTAATTTTATTTATTTAAGTGTGTGTGTGTTTTTCTGAGTTTACACACCTATAATATTCAATAATGGAACTTAGAAAAAATGGGGTATACCTATGAATGTCCATTTTGTATCTGTGTATTCAAAGTGGTTGGGATAGATATATAGTTGCATTCTCTTAATGAATAGAATGATTTGTTCTAATGGTGTTTGTAAATAGGATCACAAGTCCGCATCTTGTACAGCAATTAACCACTAAGAAGAATATATGCAGTGTATTATTTGTTGAAACTGTACTTCCGATTTGATTTGAAACT